TGAAAATTACACTTTGATTCCTAAACTTTCACAAACTTTATACTTTTTTCACAAAACTTTCAAATTTTATATTTGGATCACTAGCCAAAATTTTGGGATATTACTCTATTAGGATACAGTGTGATGGGTATTTTAGAATATGCCTCTACTATTCGCATCCGTCGAAGAGAAAAAATAACAAAATGTGCAAGTGCAAGTATTTATGTCGTTTTCCCGTTTTCTATAAGAATAAAAAATCAAAATCTTAAGTAAATCTTGCTTGCTTGGACGCCGTGCCGTCTATGACAATCCAATTTACTCACTTAAAGGTAAATTACACATGTAGTATTTAAAGTATTACTTTTATTCTTTTTAAATATTTAAGTTTTATTCTATTTTTATAGTATTTTATTTTATTTTATTTTACTATTTTATTTTTTTAAATTATACTTATCTTTTAGTTTAAGTTATTATTAAAAATGTAATTTTAATATTAACATGTCACTATAAAGAAATACCACATCAATTGAAAATATTGAAATATTTTCAATGAAATCAACTTTTCATTAGAATAACTTTTATAAAAAAAAAGAATAACAATAAAACGCAAATTCATTTTCGATTTGCACATATGAGAAATCAAAATTTGAGATCTAAAAAACGGTATGAATATCATTTTGGTGTAAATTGTATCTCATCCTTCTTTAAATTGAATCAGCCTTAAAACTCATTGTTACTCTAATGCAAGGTTGGTTCTACTTTTTTATAAAAATATTTAGATTTTTAATAATTTTAATAATTTTTTATTTACCAAGGGACAAGCTTTATTTTGCTACAATCCTAGAAAAAAATTATACTTGTGGAATAAAATAAAACTTAAACAACTGATATATAATATTTTAAACCCGAATAATTTCCGATAACTCTTGCCGCATGGAACCATTTGGCTAATAGTAGACGGGAGATACACATTTTGTCGGTAGGATTGATCCATTTTGTTTTTGTTTTTAGAAAAGAAAATTACAAAAAGTAAAAAAAAAAAGATGGGTGAGAAATAAAGAAAAAAGTTGTTCCATTCAATTAATTATTTTAACTTTTTTCTTGTAAAAGATTGGATTGGATATGCCTAGCTAATATTATTTATTATAAAAAAATCAAATTATATTTTTTATTATAATTATATAAAATATTTTTATAAATTTATATCTAAAATTAATTGATATGTATAAACAAAATTATGATACTACTAATATATCTATTTAACTGTAAGTATAATCAATCATTTCAATACATAAATAAATATCAACTATTATAATACATGAATAGAAACTTTTCTAAATTCAAATTATTTTTTTCGAATTGTAAATTCAAATTATTAATTCATTTAATTATTTTAAATAATAATATATAAGAAATCTAAACTTCGAATCGTAAAATTTATGATAGTTTGTATATTTTTTTTGTTATAAAATTCGTCTTTATATGCAAGGGGGTTGTTGGAGGTGAGATCTACTATTTTTATGGTAAACAAATGCGAGCCAATAGGATCGGGGCACTGCACTGTGCCTCATGTTAATAATTACTAGATGTTTTTTGTTTATAAATGGTATTTATTCAATTTTAGATTTTGATTATATAGTAAAATTATATCATCTGAATAAAATTATATTTTTATTAAAATATTTTATTATATTTCTTTAACGTTTTAAAAAATAAAATAATTAATTCAATAATTTTTTAGAATATATTATTTTTCCAAAAACTAATTTAGAATATATTTCAATGTTTGGTGCAACGAGAAACATCTACATTTCTAGGCAAACATTTGATAGTCAAATTTTATCTAAGGTAGATATTTTAATTATGAAATAATTAGGCATTTTGTCTCAAAATTATAATATTGTTTTTCTTTTTTTTAAATTTAGATATAGATTTCACATATACAAAAGGATGAACCGGTTGCGAGTGGGAGTAGTGGCCCCTGAAAATTTAAAATTATCATATATTTTAAATTTTTTTCTATGTATTTCCTATTAAAATTTTGTTTCACCTCCTAGAATTTTAGTTGAGCCCTGGAATTTTAGTTCATCCCATTAAGTTTAAGTTTGTCCACTAATATAAAATTATGTGTTTGTCTCTGTGCATATAGTATATATGCGGATTATGTTATTAAATTATTACGAAAAATTAAATTCTCTTAATAACTCTAAAATTTTTAATAATATTATTATTAAGATATCATAATTGAATATTTTAATAACAGTCTAAATTTTAACATGTGGTATAAATGTCAGGTTACATCTGATTAGTTAAAATAAATTTAAAAAAATATTTCAGATATACAAAAAATATTTACATATTCTACAAATATTTAAAACGTTATTTTAAAAATATAAAAATATTTACGTAAAATTTTAAAAAAAAAAGCATAAAGAATTTTTAAAATTTCATATAAATTATAAAAAAAATACAAAAATTAAATCTATATAGCAAATTGAAAAAAAGTATAAAATTAAAATATAAATAATAAAAATTTTATAAAATTTAAAAAATCTAGTCAACAGATATCATTGCCAATAATAGTCGATTCTTTTGGGATTTTCAATTATATTTTTCGAAAATATGTACTTTTGAGATATTTTTGTATATTTCTTAAAATTTTAACTGAAGTTTTTTCAGTTTCTTATAATATGTTTTTTGAACTATATATATATATATATATATATATATATAATATAGATTTTTAGGATTTATATATATCTGAAATACTATTTTATTAATTTATTTTCATTATTCTGTGAACTATTCCTTTCTAACTTCAAAATCATGGGGAATAAGTTTAATTTTAAATGTATATGAAGTAATTCAAAATTAATTTTTAACTTATATTTTAATTCAATCATGAAATAAATATTTAAAATTTATTTTAATTTAACCATTCATCTTAACAAAAAAACCATTCATCAATTTTAAGAAAATAAATTAATATATTTTAACGTAAAGTAAATAAATTAGTATTCTTAAGAAAAATAGATTAAGTTATATGGTTATTAGAAATAAATTAAGTTTTATTAATAACATCATTAAAAAAGAAAAAAGAAAAATTATATTTTACTCAATGATGAGAATTTTATAAATAAATTAAATTGAAAGGATCATTCTTATAATGATAATTTATAATATTGATGTAAATTATTATAAATATATACCAATGATTAAGAAAAAAATTATTTTCATCAAACATCTTAAAAAAAATACGTTTATAATTCAGAATCTTTCAAAAAAAAATTAACTTTTCTTATATAAAAAAATAACCTTCATTCGTCTAAGGTTGAAACTTGAATTTATGACTGTCATATTATTGTAAACATCACTTATCAATCCAAATGCCTCAATATACACGTGGAATGATCTTTCAATATATGTATAAGAGAAAAAAAAATCCAAAATTCAATACTAAAGGGATAAATTAAATAACAAAATTAGAAAATATGTATGGAATTGATAGATCATTAAAATAATATTGCACTCTTACTAGACAAAACATTTATTAGAGGTGGCAATTGGGTGGAGAAAAATTGAAAATAGTTGGATCCGAACCAATAAGATGGGGAATAACTGAATTCTTCACCCACGGAGATGGGGATGAGGGAAGTTTTATCCCGAAAGCTCAAATAAGGACGGGGACGGGGAATGCTATATCCGAACCGTGAAGATAATCGAACAGTACTTGTGTAAATAACAGTGGGGCTTCCTAAAAAAATCTATAGGGATCCTCGATATTTTACAAAATTTTAAAACTATATTTATAATCATTTACCTATATACCTTTAATATATATTTTAATAAAAATTATATATAATAAGATTGTGAGATTACGTGTTGCCACTGTTACATCTCAAATGAACTAAAATTTAAGATTAGATTTTTTTCTCATTTAATATACATTGATTTGTTGATATTGAAAATGGTTAAGATTGTACTTATACATTGGGTGTTAGATGAATATTGATGTTTGAAAATTTTATATTATAGACAGAGACCAATTTAAGACAATCTGATATATTTTACAAGTTTTAGGTGTTACATTGATTTAAAAATGTTTGTTTATTTTTTGGGATGATGATTAATCAAAACCCGTAGGGATCTGTAAGGGATGGGTATGGGGAGAAAAAAATCATTGAAACATATAATGGGGATTCCCCAAAACCTAACCGCCTCGTGTTGGGGACAGAATGGATAATGCAAAACCGTCCCCGCTCCACCCCGTGGCCACCCCTAGCATTGATAAGATGACAACTTTAAATAAATATAGATATGGCTGTAAATGGAGCTGGACTCGACTCGAATACTAACGAGCCTAAAATTTTCAAGCTCGACTCGAACTCGAAATCATAAACTGAAGCTCGAAATGAAAAAAAAAATCTTAAAATTAACTCGATTGAAGCCTCAAACTCAAACCTAAACCTTAAATACATGAAAACCTTATATTGTTTTTATAAAATAACACATACATGCTAATATTATTAATAATTTATTTTTTTTAAATAAAATCTTAATATATATTATATTTTTGAGTTCCTCATGAGCTTTTTGAGTCAAGTATCAAGTAGCTCGTTTCATATCGTTAAGAACTCGAGTTAAGCTCGAGCTCGAGCTCGAGTTCATTCGATTCGAGTATTTATCGAGTTTTAACCAAATCGATCTCGAGTAGCTCACAATCTGTCTCGTTTTATTTACAGCCCTAAATATAGCATAGTAAAATCATCAGTTTTAAAATATATGTTTAATTATTAATGAATTATTAAATCTTTAACTTTTAAAAGTAAAACTATTTTGAAATAAGTACAAAATGGCATCAAATGCAGAAAGAAACAAAAAGGTTGGGAAATAATAAGAACAAAGTAAATCTTAAAGGACCAGCACATGCGAAAGTATAAAAAATCTAATCCGCTTTGGACTATATCGTCTTTATGTAATGTTTCCAGAGAAAGCTTTCCACCTCTCAATTCCAAGCAAACATTCTCTCTTTCAAGTCCAACCCAAGACCTGTAATTGGAGTTCAATAAAATATAAAAAAGCGGTGATGCTGAGTGATCTATGTTTGTGCCCATGTTTTGGGTCCCAAAGCTCCGGCGATACCGGGGCGGATCGGGATCCGGTCCTGCTTGTCTCCGGAATGGGAGGATCCATTCTTCATTCTAAAAAGAAGTTGTTTGGAATTAATATCCAGACCCGGGTTTGGGTTCGGATCCTCTTTTCTGATTTGGAGTTTAGGAAGAAGCTCTGGTCTCTTTATAATCCTAAAACAGGTACTCTTTGTTTTATTTTGAGTTTGCATGCATGTCTTTTACGTGGAACAGATCTTTGTTCCTTGTCGGGGTTTGGATATTACATACATATTTTTGGTCATCTATTTCCTGTTTGGTTCTTCGTAAATTTGATGAACAAAAGGCATGGATAGAAAAATGGGGGAGGATAAAAATTGGGTTTTTTTACAAATACTAAGTTTGTTGTTTTTAATGAATAGTGTTTTTGGTGGAAAATACAGGGGGATAAAGTGCAACATATTTATGCTGACTTTGTTTGACTGAACAAGTCGAAAGGAAACAACCTTAGCTGAATCAGATTTTTTTTTCCTGCTCTTGATTCTGTGTGGACAATCTTTCTCCACCTTTTGCTTTTCATTTTTCTTTTTTCTTTCTATTGTGGTTTGTATTTATTGTAGGAAGACTATGATGAGTTTATTAAGTAAGAGATCAAGTGCTTAGACATGAAAACTATGGCAATGCTTTTGTTTAGCCAAAAAAAAAAAAAATCTTTCATTGTTGTCTTTGAAAGGAAAACAACAGACAAATAAGCAGCAGAATGATAAGGAATATCTTTTTGGCGTCTTGTTTCGACCAATTGCTAGTATAATTTTATATTCTGAAAGTTTGCTTTGTATGTTTTTGCATCTAAAGATCTAAACGTTGAACTTGTTTTTGTATGCTTCCTCTTGGAGGCGAAGTTCCAGTCTCAATATCTTGTATATTACCTGAACTTGAAATTTCACCAGCAAAGTCATCCTGAATTTATGTCTGTAGTACAATTTTAAGTTATAAACTCAGAAAATCATTTATGAAATAATTAATAAAAGCAAACTTGATTTGTTTTGTTGATGTATTTTATTGGAGTTTATATCTGTCTAAGCTATAGGACCTTTCATGAGATCAAAGATTTAGAACCACTGTAGCTGAAGCCTCTCAAATGACTCTTTTCATGTAGAAAGCAGACTGGTTCCTGCAAATCGGTAACTAAAAAGACCAACTGGTAAACCTGTTTATATTGTTTTTGTTTCTAGTGATAAATTATTAGTCGGTATCATGGTTATTCAAAATGGAAAGCCTCATTCATGATCTTTACTTGTTCACTCTCTTGAGTCTCTTCCTATAATGTTCTTTGTGATACTTCTTTGTACAATGTTAATGAATAATTTTTTTATTCCAATTGCCATATATTTTAGTTTCAATATTGTGTCAGTTTAACCATTATTATTGCTGTTTTATTGTCTTTAGTTTAGAGTTTGGTTATATGAAGCTTCTCTATGGCATAAAAGCACTTGTGTAAAAGCTGATTCATTCGTTATTCTCAGGTTATACTGAATCATTGGATGATGACGTTGAAATTTTGGTCCCTGATGATGATCATGGACTGTATGCAATTGATAAATTAGATCCTTTGTAACACCCCAATTTAGGGGCTAAATTTAAGAAATTATAAAGTAATGAATTTAATTGGTATTTTTGGATGAAATCAGGGATTAAATTGTAAAATTTCAAAGTGGGAAGACCGTTTTAAGAAGTACAGGAAGTTCAGTGACTAAACTCTTGGTTTACCCATTTTTTATATAGGATGAATTATAAATTTCTTATCCCCTTGCGCAGGTTCTCATTTTTTTCAGTTTTGTCTTCTCCAACTACCTTCCTTTCAATTCCGATCTACTCGTTGTCCGACCTCCGATCAACGAGCCGAAACAATCATTGTGTTCGTTGTCAACCGAGGAATAAAACCTCTCAAACCTTTCGTCGTGAATCATCACTGTTCGTCGTTAATTTCAGTCGGAAGTATCGTCGGTAATAACTCTGTTTTAGTTGGTTTTTCATCGATTCACGACGATCGGGTCATCCGTTTACGACACCTCCCGCACCATCGTGTTCGTTGCATCGTTCCGAGTTCGCCTGTGTCATCCTTGGTCTCCGTCGACAGCGGCACGTGAGGAGGTGAAGCGGTTAAAGTTTCCGATTTGTTGAAATCGAGCTCTCTGCCGTTCAAAATTGTGAACCGAGCTTTGTAAGTATCTTGAAATTGTTCAAAATAATTTTTAAGAATTTTTTCGTGATTTTCCACGCTCCGCCACTGCGCGTGGGGATGGTCCAAATGGCCGGTTTGACCGTTTTGGTGCATAGTTGACCGGTTTGACCGGTCATATCCCTACCCGTTTACCCGACCTGTTGACCCGACCCGTTGACCCGTTGATCGTTGACCGACGTTGACAACTGTTGACCAAAATTTTGACCGGGCATTAAACGACCTTTGACTTCGATCGAGTATACCTATCCTGACATTTTTGACGATCCAAATCCGATTCCGCTGTCCGTTTTTCGAAATTCGAACCCGAAGGCCTCGAAATTACCGATCAAACCTGTTGACTTTGATTTTGACCGAAAATTTCAAATTTTTGAAAAATCATATTTTATGTTTTCGACGTCCTGAATCCGAATCTGAAGTCCGTTTCGCTAAATTCGAACCCGGTAAGCCGTCTTTCACTGATTTATCACCCGATTCGATCCGTTTATCGCAATTAAGCTCCGTTTCTGATATAATTTATGTTGATATGTATCTAAGGAATTATTAGAAGTTGAATTGAAGATCAAAGGCATTCGAATGGAATTTTATGGTCGATCAGTATTGCACGGAAATCGAGGTAATACTTTACTATCTCTTTATGCTTTATGGAACATGTTTATGTTGATAAATGCATGAACAAGATAATGTTGGTCACTTTGGTGGAGTTGAATAATTTATACACTCGATATGATGTGGTAGAAATTCTGTAACTGATTACGGATCGAATTACTAATATAAGAGATTGAGGAATTGTTAGATTAAATTACAAGTTTGTGATTAGAGATAAAGAAATCAGTCATGTATCTGCAATTTATAATTTATTTCATCAAAGGTTAAATGTTAAAGGTACTTGGATGAGAAATTATGAGAATACTCCGGTAGGGTAAAATTATGAAAATACCCTTATGTTATAAAAAGACAAGATTTGAATATAGAAGTTAAATAAGAGGATTTTACAGACATATTGATCTGATAAAAATATTGATGTGCATAAGAAATGTTAGTTTTATTTGGAAATTATGAATAACCGGTTTTAATCCTAGGAGAGTTTGTGAAGGATACTAGAAGTCTATTAAGGTGATCATTTCAAGATCAGATAGTATTCAAGAAAGTAATTAATCATAGGATCTCTAAATTATATTATTTTCGTTAAGAGCTAATATCAAAATCATCTGGTTAAGAAATTACGAAAATGCCCTTGAAAGGTAAAATAGTCCGAGTTGACCCTGAATGAGAAAATACTTTGAGGATTTGTACTTAACTCGATTAAGTATGGATTTGATTGTTAAGATCCTGACTTAGTGCAGGAAAATTCCTGATATTCCATTTGTAAAATCTGAGAAGGCACTTGACCCGAAAATATCCGAGTTATGAATAAATACCTGAAGAACAATTTATCGGGGGTGTTCTGTTGTCAGAATTGTTCGAAATGACTGAAATAAATGATAAGATTGAATTTAATAGTAAGATCAGACGGAAGGAAATAATTAAAGTACACTGAATCTGTACAATGACAAAAAAATACCCCTGTAATGTAAATGACCCAAGAATATCATCAAGCTTAAGAATGATTGGATATCCTCGAGCTCTGAAATGAATGGAATAAAATTGAACACAAAATTATCAAAATACCCTCATGACCTATACCAAGTAAATACGTTGGATTAATTAAGGAATCCAAATAAGCATAGGTATTGGCCTACCTTTAAAAGTAATGGAACATAATTTAAGTGAGTAGATCAACCCTAAAGCTATGTCAATACCTGAATAGCATAGATATTACTGGAATGTGTGTTTGTCTTCTTAAGTTTGACTCGATGATAAATTTTGGAAGTATTCAGTTTAGCTCAACTCTGAATCACATTCAGTACAAAGAATTAGATGTTTGTTCGACAAATCAACCACGAATACCGAACTGAATTGAACTAAAGTACAATATGTATCTAAAAATCAGGAACACTTGAATTACTCTGGAAAATCCCTTAGTATCTGGAATGAACTTGAATGCTAAATAAATTAAGTAACCACAAGGACTGATGATTGAATAAGTGAGTTGGATGAATCTAGAAATGTTAATGAACATACATGATGTAATGTTCTTATGGATCATGAACTACAAATCAAGCACGTCAGCATTTCATGATATAGTGAAAGCGTGAACATGAAATAAAGACATTGGAAGATTTATTTAGCGATGATTCCGAAGATGATATATGGACTAGAAATTATGGTATTAAAGAGTAAATATCCTGGAAGAACGATGAATTGACCAATCGATAAGCATTAGTTCTAGGAACTATTCATCTAAGAGTTGTTCGATAATCAGATCAAACGACATATTTTGTATAAAGATTTCTGAACACTTTCCTGATGCACATGAATCATATCGGAATTCTAAAGTATCAACCTTAAATGTCGGATTAGATTGTTTAGCAATCGATTCCCTTCAATAGGACCTCAATTTTAGAATCTGATCAAATTACATCAGTTTCATGTTATTCATTATGATAACTACTAAGTGTCTCTGAGAAATACTTGGATATCCTAGTGCGTTCCACATGTACCACATGACGATTTTATATGTTTTTAAATGAGTTTCACCGAAACTATTGATTTACTGGTTTATGAACCATGACAACATGTTATATGTTTTCCGATTTCGGGTTTTACCGAAAAGTATGAATTATTACTGATTTATGACATCATGGAATCTACTGGTTTTATGAACTATGTTTACTTGAAATATGTTATCGGGTTTCCTATTTTTATTGGAAAATATGATCTTGATAAATCACGTACTGAATATTTTTATGAGACAATACCCGATGTTCTGAATACAGTTTATTTTGATATCTGATTTACCACATATTTTGATATGGTTTCTGGTTATGGTATTTTTGTACATGATTTCTAAATATGAATTAATTACCGTTACAGTTCCCCTAGGTCCCTTTGTTGTGTGCAAGGGTAAGCCTTACAGTTTCCCCAGGTTCCTTTGCTGTGTGTAAGGGTAAGCCTTACAGTTTCCCAGGTTCTTTTGTTGTGTCCAAAGGTAAGCCTTACAGTTCCCCCAGGTCCCATTGTTGTGTGTGAGGGTAAGCCTTACAGTTCCCCCAGGTCCCTTTGCTGTGTGCGAGGGTAAGCCTTACAGTTCCCCCAGGTCCCTTTGCTGTGTGCGAGGGTAAGCCTTACAGTTTCCCCAGGTTCTTTTGCTGTGTGCAAGGGTAAGCTTTACAGTTTCCCAGGTTCTTTTGCTGTATGCAAGGGTAAGCCTTACAGTTCCCCCAGGTCTCTTTGCTGTGTGCAAGGGTAAGCCTTACAGTTTCCCCAGGTTCCTTTGTTGTGTGCAAAGGTAAGCCTTACAGTTTCCCAAGTTCTTTTGTTGTGTGCAAGGGTAAGCCTTACAATTTCCCCAGGCTCTTTTGCTATGTGCAAGTATAAGACCTTATCGTTTTTGCATGCTCCTCTGCTTTGTGCACAGGGTAAATATGTTTTAAACTGCTACTGTTTTAAAAGATATGTATCTTTTTACTGGTTTTACGGGAACACACTAGATAACCTGTTCTGATCTCCTGAACTCAGTCATCCAAAATATTTCTCTGAACTGAAAGCTCATTGTCCGTTACCACCTGAAATATCAGTATGATTCTGCTCAACATAAAAATCTGTAAATGTTCGGAAACAATAAGGAAATAGATATTTATCTGTATTTGCATGTTCATCAGCATCATCTGGTAGTTCTGTATTACTGAGCTTTTCGAAGCTCACTCTATTACTCACATTTCAGGTTAAAAGAATTGTACCAGTGCAGCTATCGACATCAGTAAGGGAGTTCTTCCGGCGTTGTTGCAGATTATGGTACATGTGATTAGGGGCATGTAATTGTATTTTGATTTATATACGAGTATGGAAATTTGTTTTATTTTTAAATAGTGATAACTTTTATTTTGTAGTGGCAAATGATTTTATGAATTTACATGTTCTGATTAAAGGTTTTAAATTTTCCGCTATTTTTACAGTGGGTCGCTCCGGTGGCCCTAATGTGACTTCCCGAATCGGATCGGATTACCCGCATCGGTCTGTAGAGGTTACATCCTTCTTTGGTAAAATGAGTTTTTATTCTCTTTTTTTACAACAGTTTCTTGCTCAAAAATTTGATTAAATAGTTTATTCTTTTTTAAGTGCAATTGTTTCGTTTTTATTTTATTTATTTATTTTTAAATCAGAAGTACCAGACTAAGGTGATAAACTTACATCTATGATCCTCCAGGTGATAAAAATTTTACATATCACTGATGTGTATCATTTTCATGATATGATTGATATGCTAGTTGGATGTGGGTATAAAAAAGGAACCACATTATTTGGATATGGTTATGATTTCCGGCAAAGCAATAGTTAACTCATTTTCAACTGCTATATATTTGGTGGTTGAGGTTGAGACTTTCAATTATATATTTCACTCTGTATCTGATCTGTTTAAGTATTGACCATCCCTTAAAATTATGTGAAATTCCTTTATTTTAGTCCGCACAAATATCATTTTCATAGATGTATGTTAAATGGTTGTCAGGATTGACAAGTTAATGGATGGTCTTAAAGTTAAGTTGGAAACTGCATACAAGGCTTCTGGAGGCAGAAAAGTTAATATAATCTCACATTCGATGGGAGGACTACTGGTGATGTGTTTCATATCACTTCATAATGAAGTATGCAGTTTTCTTTTCTTGTCAGTAATTGAAAATTTGACAATCATTTATAAATTAAATATTACCCGTTGAAGTTGATATTATTCAGTGAAGGACTTCTTGCATTCCGTTTGTTTGATAGAAGTGATAAACTATTTTTTATTGGCAGGTATTTTCCAAGTATGTAAATAAATGGATTACCATTGCATGCCCGTTTCAAGGTAAGTTTGTGAGTTATGGGATAAGTATTATCTTATAGTTTGTTTAATTTAATTTCTAATCGTGAATGTAGATAAGGTAGATTGGTTTAAGTAAAGCACCACTTCCTAGTTTAAGTAAAATACTATTTCTCACCTCTTTATATAGTTTGACGCTACTGTGTAAAATCTGCTGTGAAAAATCAGTTTGTAATTTTTGTGAATAAAATTACTTCTACAGAAACCTATTTTTTTACTTTCTATATGCTATCAGTCTAAGTTATCGATCTTAATTCAAAAACCTTTCTGTCAATGGCGTTCTCGGCTTCTTCCAAGGCGATTCGGGGGCCTTTCGTCCATACTTCCAGTCCAACCCTAATCGATGCATCACCAGCATTGATCACTTGTCACCGTCTGAATAACAATAATTATACTGCCTGGTCCCAGTCTGTCTGACTGTATCTCACCGGCCGACGTAAACAGCAGCATCTTTTAGAGATGATGCCTATTCCGGATGTCACTGATCCTGACTACACCAATTGGCTCAGCAACAACACCATGATCATGCCCTATCTAATAAACTCGATGATCCCTGAGGTGGAGGAAAATTTTCTGCTATACTGGTGAAATTTCAAGTGCTGCGAAGGAAACATTCGAATTTGGAAAATTCTGCTGAGTTGTTTGTAATTGAATGTCAGATTAATAATCTCAAACAGGAAGGTATGAGTGTTACCCAATATTTAAGTCTGTTATTTCGTTTTTGGCAGCAACTTGATTTGTTTGAGTCGCATAATTGGCGGTGTGGAGATGATTCTACGCTGTTCAAACAGCTTGTTGAAAAGCGACGTATTTTTCAATTCTTTTCCACATCAATAGAGAACTTGATGAAGCTAAGGGGTGAATATTAAGTGTGAACCCCCTTCCTTTGTTACGGGAGGTTTTCTCTGAGGTTTCGAGGGAGGAGGGTAGGCTTACTCTAATGCTTCCCGATATGATGGCTACGGATGGATCGGCACTGCTTACCCAATTTAAGTGTAGTTCCTTACCAAAGAAAGATAAACCATGGTGCGAACACTATAAGAAGATGGGCATGTAAATGACAATTGTTGGCAGTTACATGGAAAACCGACATATTGGAAAACCGACAAGTGGAGGAATTACGGTCGTTGTTTGGCCAATTGAATTTGGGTTTTGATTCCAGGAGTTTCTCTCCTGCAGGTTGAGCTCTTCTTGCTAATTTGGCTAACAAAAACGACTCTACTACATGGATTGTGGATTTCAGAGCAAGTGATCATAAGACAAGTGATCTTCGGCTTTTTCAAACTTTTCAGACAATACAATATGTTTCTCACATCCGAACGGTGTATCATTCTCTTTCAAATATTGCAGGCAGTGGTTCGGTTCGGATAAATTCGAGCATCATTTTAAAATCTGTTCTTTATGTCCCTAATCTTGTTTGCAACCAAACTGGAACAAACTGTTTAATGTGTGAATTTCAATATTCGAGCTCGAGGAAGGTGATTGTCAGTGCTAAACTTTGTGGGAGACTTTACCTTCTTGACAAAAGTTTTTCCGTTCCACATCAAGTTTGTTCCAATTTGGTTAAACCTTCTACCGTTATTATGTTATTACACTTTAGATTAGGGTATACTAGTTTCTTTTACCTTGCCAAGTTTTCTTCCAAATTGTTTGTTAATAAAAGGCTGAAACATTTCTTTTGTGATATTTGTCATCTTGTCAAACAAACAAAGAGTATATCATCCTTCTCATACAAATCGTCTAAACCATTTGCTCTTATTTATAGTGACATTTGGGGTTTATCCAGGGTAGCAAGTTTTAATGGGTATCGATGGCTTCTCTCCTTTGTTGATCACTCTCGTATGACATGGACTTTCCTTTTGAAAACAAAATCCAAAACTAGTGATATTTTCAAACTATTCCACAACATGGTTGTAACCCAATTTGAGACTTCTATTCAAGTTCTTCATTCTGATAATGGTAGGGAATATTTCACCAACATTTTGGGTTCTTTCTTTCAAGGAAAAGGCATATTACTTCGTGTGTTAATACCCCACAACAAAATGAGATTGTCGATCGAAAAAATCGACACCTTCTTGAATTTACCATGTCTCTTCGTTTTTCTACACATGTTCCTTCATATTTTTTTGGGGTGAGGCTCTTTTAACTACAAGCTACTTGATTAATCGAATGCCGAGTAAACCTTTACGGTTCCAATGTCCTAGAGATGTTTTTCTTCAGAGTTTTCCTCTCTTTCATCCCTTGACTTCTTTATCTCTCCGAGTCTTTGGTTGTTATGTGTTTGTCCACAATGATAACAAGTTCATATCTAAGTTAAGACCCTCAAGCATTTAAGTGTGTTTTCCTTGGGTATTCTTCTACTCAAAAGGGCTACAAATGTTATTGTCCTCGCACCAAGAAATATTTTGTCTCCATGGATGTCTCTTTCTTAAAAAAAACCATATTTTCCCAAATCTAAAATTAGTGGTAGTCATCATCAAGTGAAGAATTTCAGAATTTTGATTTTGTCCCTATGTCAAAGCCATCACAACATTTTTTATTTAATCAACCAACCGAACCAGCTGAACCAACCTTGCCCTGAACCAACCTTGTCAGCTGAACCAACCTTGTCAGTTGAATCATTAGTTGTGCCGCACCATCTATCCAGCATAACTAATCTTCCCCCAAACCATTCAAACACAGGTTCTCCTTGCATTTTTCCTTGTTGCAAGACACTTGTTTATAAAGAAGACAAAGACAAACCACCAAAGTTCCCATACAAAGTGAGCACTGCCAAGAGCTGGAACCAAGCCTGAATGCCTCAGAATCTAAAGAGGGTAATCAATGTTTTTCGAATGAATTGAATGTCTCAGTTGATACTAGTAATTTGTAAATTTCTCAAAGGAAAGGAGTAAGAAGATGCACAAATTATCCAATTAATTAAATTTTGCATATGGGAAACTAATGCATTGTTATGGAAATTTTATAGCCAACGTGGATAGTATTGTTCCGAATATAGTGGAAGAAGCTTTGAAAGACCCTAAGTGGAGAAAAGCGATTTAAGAAAAACTTCTGACACTGAAAAATAATAACACTTGGGTTATAGTTGATCTTCCTAAAGACAAAAGACCTGTCAGTTGTAAATGGGTATTCACTGTGAAGTACAAGGCAGATTGTAGTATTGAAATGTATAAGGCGACTCCGCCTCACCACTGAACTCAACACCTTATCGCGACCAAAACCCGAGGTTCTAGTGTCGAGCATCGGTGAACAATTTAGATCTCACCATGGAATCCTAACCCCCATCTCAGCCCAGCCAACTTCGAGGGTTCGCTTCAACAGACGCGGTGGTTGCTTCCTCCGTGAGGCCTTCTACTGCTCCTCATTTGTCGTCTAGGTTTTCACAACTCTCTCTTGATCAATATATCTGTGGTACAGCTGGTGATTTTCCTCTGGATTCTGCCAAGGATTTAGAAGGAGAGTGAAGGATCTTAAAGCAATAGTGGCATATTTGAATAAGCGGGTAAAGGAATTAAAAATGAAGGAGAAGCAGTACCACGAGGCAGGTCCTTCAAGACCTCTAGATCTGCGGTGCAACCACTTTAACTTACTCCTGTAAGGACAAATGTGAAATTGAGAAAGATAAGGAGAGGACAAAGGTTCGGAAATGGCACATACGAGTTTTCACTAGACGCATGCTGGCCGGATTGAGGCAGTATGATAACTTCCCTTTTCCCTCGCATGCTGCCATGAACGATGTACTGGCAACCTTGGCATGTGAGGCTGGTTGGACAGTTGAGGCTGACGACACTACTTATAGACACTCTCCTACGCCCCAAAATCAGCAAAATTTGGGAACATATTTAGCGAGGTCAGGTGAAAGTCCACTTTCAACCAATCCTTTGAATAAGTGCTCACAAGGAGAGAAACATGGGAACAAAAAGCTTTCTTTAGTACAGGCAACACCAGCTCTTTCTGTCGCTGATGTTGATCATGATGGAACCAAGGAGATCAATTCGAAAGGGTATTCTAATGAAAACTTTTCTGAAGTTGTGGGAAGGAGAAGAAATGGGTTTCATAATTGGCGGAAGGAAGGCCAACCAAATATCGGTAATGGGTTCAGAAGTGGTTGTTACACATTTTTTATCGAAAACCTTCCAGAGAAGATCCATTGGAAGAGACTTGGATCTATATTTAAAACACATGGTCAAGTTATTGATGCCTTTATTTCAATAAAAAAAAACTCGAATGGGGTTCGCTTTGGGTTTATTCGCTATGCTACAATTGAAGAAGCAAGGACAACGATTTTTAAGATGAATGATAATCATATTTACGGCAGCAAAATTAGAGTCTCTTTGGCTAATTATAAACCCCGACAGTCTAACTGGCCAAAGTCCTCGACAGTTGTTCAACGTAAGTCTGGGATGGAAGATTTCCCGAGGATTAAACACTGTGAAGTTGAGGGTGTTGTGGACGAAGATAAACTTCAAGTGTTAACCAACTGTCTTGTGGGGTGGTACTTTATCAAAATTGGTAATCTTGTTAACCAAATACAAGCCAAATGACTATCTGGTTTCACGCTAATGAGAGCTACTGGAAATGTAGTTCTAATGGTTTTTGAAGACTCTGATTCGTTGAGAAGCGTGACAGATGATAAGTTAGAGACTCTTGCAGAATGGTTTTCCAGAGTGGAAATTTGGTCAGAGAGCCTTGTGGTGGAGTGCAAGCATGTGTGGTTAGTTTGCGAAGGTATTCATTTTCACGCTTGGAATTGGGATACCTTTAAAAACATTGCAACTAAGTGGGGCAAGTTAATAGCAATTGACAACAGATGTGAGTTCCCTTCGTCTTTGTTCGGGCTAAAATTCAATTACTCACAAATGCTAAAGGGAGAATTGATGAGTTGTTGGAGTTGAAGGTCGGGGATAATTTATTAAAAATCTTATTGCATGAAGTTGATCCTTCCTTGAAACCCAACTCTTGGGTCCCTGAAGATTGCGATACTT